GAATTTGGGGGGGTGGGAATTGGGAAATGTAGGGATTTGGAAATTTGGGAATTTGGGGGTGTGGGAATTGGGGAATGTAGGGATTTGGAAACTTGAGAATTTGGGGGCGTGGGAATTGGGGAACGTAGAGATTTGGAAATTTAGAAATTTGGGGGCGTGGGAATTGGGGAATGTAGGGATTTGGAAATTTGAGAATTTGGGGGCGTGGGAATTGGGGAATGTTGGGATTTGAAAATTTAGAAATTTGGGGGCGTGGGAATTGGGGAATGTAGGGATTTGGAAATTTGGGAATTTGGGGGCGTGGGAATTGGGAAATGTAGGGATTTGGAAACTTGAGAATTAGGGGGTGTGGGAATTGGGTAATGTAGGGATTTGGAAACTTGAGAATTGGGGGGTGTGGGAATTAGGGAACATAGGGATTTGGAAACTTGAGAATTGGGGGGTGTGGGAATTAGGGAACGTAGGGATTTGGAAACTTGAGAATTTGGAGATGTGGAAATTGGGGAATGTAGACATTTAAAAATTTGAGAATTAGGGGGTTGTAATTTCAGGAGATTTAGGAATTTGGAAATTTGAGAATTAGGGGTTGTCTGATTTGTAAACTTGATAACCTAATAAAATTTCCCTATCTACTTCCACAATTTTGAAACTCTCCATGATACCTTAAAATTTAGAAACCTATGAATTCACAAATTTTCACTACATTTTCATGACCCAGCTTCGAGTATATACTAGTATCTTTTTCAACATAATTTCAAAATCAGCTGTTCGATTTGTAAGAGTGTTGTCCAGAAACTGGGACGAGATGTAACTGCCTTTTTTCTTCCCGTTCGAAGGTAGTATAAGAAATTGGTCGAAGAAGTTAAACGTGCTTCAAGTCGACGCTTAAGGCGGGTGTCCAACTTTTTCTCGACTCGCAGCTGTTCCTCTTTTTTCTTCCTCTATCCTTTACACGATAAATCCGATATTCTCATTATTCGCAGTCGGGCTTACAGCATTCGAGCATTTCTTCGTTACCTCTTTTATGTACTTTTTCCTACAAAGAAAAACTCTGTAATCTTTATTCAGGTATCGCGGCCAATGTTTATTCACAGCAATACTCCTCTAACTTCGTTAAACACGTTTCAGTGGAAAAACTTTGATGGCACTTTGCAATTTACGGGAACAAAACCATTTAATGATTTCTTTTTCTATTACACTCTTTGAGAGAAGTTCAAATGAATTTAGACACTGCAATTTAAATCGATGCACAAAATAATGCTCATCTTCGTTCAAGTTAATGTACATCTCAAATTAATGATTTTAATTATTGTTCCAAATTAAAACAATCTCGTAGATGATTTTTTTTTAATGTACGTCTTTAATTAACAATTTTAAAAATGTTTACATGAGATCAGATTTCATATGAGAAAAGAACATGAAGCTTTTTTAACACTTTGCAATTTATGTCGATGCACAAAACAATATCGTAGATGATTTTTTTTTAATGTACATCTTTAATTAACAATTTTAAAAATGTTTATTTGAGATGAGATTTCATATGAGAAAAGAACATGAAGCTTTTTTAACACTTTGCAATTTATGTCGATGCACAAAACAATATCGTAGATGATTTTTTTATAATGTTCATCTTAAATTAACAATTTTAAAAATGTTTATATGAGACAGGTTTTCATATGAGAAAAGAATATGAAAATATTTTGACATTTTGCAATTTAAGTTGATAGACAAAATCATCTCCTGATTGATTTTTATTGAACATCCATCTGAAATAAATAATTTAAACAATTTTTACATACGTGTAACATGTCATTGTTTTAAAGATGTGACTCAACACACCTTCACAAAGCACCAGTATTTTATTTTGTACATCTCAAATGAATAATTTTAACAATTTCTTTATAGGACAATATTTAATATGAGAAATGAACATGAAGATTTTTTAACATTTTGCAATTGAAGTTGATAGACAAAATCATCTCCTGACTGATTTTTATTGAATGTCCTTTTCAAATGAATAACTTTATCAATTTCTATATACGTCTAAAATTGTCATTATTTAAAAAATTTTTTTTTTAAGACGTGACTGAAGTTTCATGAATAAGTATCTTATCTAACACACATACAAATGATTTAACTCAATCACGTATGCCCAAATCACTTTATCTGACAGTTCAAACAGTACCCGAAGCGACTGATTATGCCGAATCAGACTCCGCAAGATGAATCGCGAAAGTATCCTCGATAACGAAATCTCCCCGCGAAATAAAAGCGAAAAGAGAGAGATCGGGTGTTTCTTCAGGGCGTTTGTCAAAGTGGTATTCGAGGCACTCGACGTGCCGCAGCTATTGTGTGTCGAGAGACGAACGGCCTCTAACTTCGCGAACTTACCCTGTTACTCGGGTTATTTATTTCTCTTCGATTCTTGCCTACCCTTTCTCTGATTTATTCGTTCAACTATTTTTCTAGACGGTTCGTACAGAAATTATTAGCACCGGTTACCAATAATCGTGAAACCGTTTTGTATCACCGCTTTTTCATGGACGAAATGTTTACTTGAATGTTTTTTTCATTTACTTGAATGTTTTACTTGTTAATTCATTATGGACGTTCTTTTGTGTTACAGCGCGTTTGGAAGAAGAGAAGGCGGCGTCGAACGCACAGATTCTTTGGTCGGCTTGTCAGGCGCTGGCACGAGCTATTAAAAATGCGCCGGTTGGAGCGAACGTGGAGGAAGTTATCAGACCACTGGAGCCGGAAATCAAAGCCGTCACTAAAGCTGCACGTAAGCCATTTAATATCGGAAAAATTAATAGCGGATATTATCTTGTTCTCAGATCTGTTATTAGTTTTTTACCGTTTGGAAATGTGAGAAGTGGGGTTTGGATTTGGACATTCTCGGATGCGGGATTTAGGAATTTGGGAATTTTAGTATTGGGGGTTTAGAAATTTGGGAATTCTAGTATTGGGGGTTTAGGCACTTTAGGATTTGAGAATTGGGGACGTAGAAATTTGGAAATTTGAAAATTGGGGTTTTGGGATTTGGAAATTTGGGAATTTGGGATTTAGGGATTTGGGGATTTGGGAATTTGGGGGTGTGGAAATTGGGGAATGTAGAGGTTTGGAAATTTGGGAATTTGGGGGTGTGGGAATTGGGGAACGTAGGGATTTGGAAATTTGAGAATTAGGGGGTGTGGGAATTGGGGAACGTAGGGATTTGGAAATTTGGGAATTTGGGGGTGTGGGAATTGGGGAACGTAGGGATTTGGAAACTTGAGAATTTGGGGACGTAGAAGTTGGAGAATATAGGAATTTGGAAACTTGAGAATTTGAGGGTGTGGAAATTGGGGAATGTAGACATTTAAAAATTTGGGAATTTGGGAATTTGGGAATTTGGGGATTTGGGGGTTTAGGGGTTTGGGAATTTGGGGATTTGGGAATTTAGGGGTTTGGGAATTTAGGTATTTGGGAATTTAGAGATTTGGAAATTTAGGGGTTTGGGAATTTGGGGGATTTGAGAATTTAGGGGTTTGGGAATTTAGGGATTTGGTAATTTGACTGATTGGGGAATTTAGAGATTGGTGAATTTAGGAATTTGGAAACTTCAGTTCTAATATAAAGCATGGTACCATAAATCATCGAATATCCTTCATCCCTAATATTATCCACGTTCATCTTAATTCCTCAAATTTCCGTGGGCTTTAAATCCCATCTTTCTTGATCCCTCGAAATTGTCCGCAGAATTTCTTCCGTTCGAATCTGAATCGAACATCCTCCCGAATAATCCCGCATATCTCGATTAATTCCTGTTCCCCGTGAGCGGCGAGTCTCATCATTTTTGCCGACGATTTATGCACGGAAGGACGCGCTATTATGAGAATACGCATTGCACATAAATGAATAAATTTCGGGGCTCGGGAGAGAGTTGAAAGCGGTTCGAAGTTTTCGTGGCCATTTATCAACGTTTCGTAGCCAAACGTTTTGCAAAATTGCAAAGTAATGTATTCCCGGCCGAAGTAACGGCATCTGGTGTAATGCAGTTTGTTACGGGTGGTGGGGGTCGAGAGGTGTTGCTGGATGTTAATCAATTTTCAGGCCGGAAATTTCGGTTCGTAAAATTCACCGATAATTCCACGCTCTTTCAACAGCTGTACCTGTTAATTGAGGGAATAAACTTGATTTGTTAAGCTGTTTAATTTCTACCCTTTTCCGTGAGCGACTGGGTTATTAATTTCTTGTCATATTTTAAAAGACGTACTTCAAATGTGACAAACCTTACTAGAATTTTTAATTTGAGGTTTGAGTTCAATATTTGCATAGTCAATAGTTAGTGCTGACGTTTGACAAATAAATCAAGGGTTTAATATTTGTTAAGTACATATTTTTAGAGTAACATACACTGTAAGCTTGAAATATATTTCTTGAAGTGTAAATGCAAGTTCGCTGGATTTGAATATTACAAGCTGCAATACGATCATTGTCTAAATATTAACGATGCTGTTTCAGCCAAGGAGGACCCACTGGTGCTGGCAGCCATCGGAGGCATTCCCGAGGAGGCTGCAAAGAGGGGTGTGTTCCCCGAGGACATCCTCCGTGCCAGGTTCCTCAAGGTAACCTTACTACTTTCTGGACGAACTCAATTACTTCAACTACTACAAATTACCCCATTCATTAACAGCATCCAGTATAATTTTCTCCTTTTATTCAAACCCCATAAAGTTGTCTATATTTTACAATGTTGAAAGACGGGAAGTTTTTGTACCCCTGTTTGTCCGATAAAATTGAATTCGAGCTCCGGTAGTAAATTTCTTTTCATTACAAGAAATCTTGGGGATGAAAGATAAAGCTAGACGGTTTTTTGAACGACGGCGATGAAATTTACGAGGTGGAAATGTTTTCAGGTGGAAGAGGTGGCGAGACGATTGGCCCTGGTGCCCGAGGAGGGTGCAGCGTTGCCTATCTATTTCCTTAGCTATCTTCAGAGCTTCTTGATGATCAAGAACGCCAGCCCCATTCCTCAGAGCGAGATCGAGGACAACCCCATCGACGTCGACTCCCTCAACACCTACGACATTCTTCACCGAGCCAGGTAACTCTTTTCGATCACTTTCAAGGTTACTTCAAGGCTACCTTAATAGTCTGCAGTTTTAAAAACTATTTAAAGACAATTTTTTATTTTGAATAAATCTTTGTCGAGTACGTAAGAAGAGTCTGAACATAGTGTTTCTATGTACATCAGGATTTTTGCTTTAGTGTTACAAATGAGCAACTGACTTTTCCTTAAATGGTTTCTAAAAGATACCTCCTTACTTGAGGACATATCTGAGGAACAGCAACTGACTCTCCTTTAATTGATTTTCAAAAGAAACTTCCTCACTTGAGGACATACTTGAGGAACAACTGACTTTTCTTTAATTGATTTTCAAAAGAAACTTCCTTACTTGAGAACATACTTGAGGAACAGCAACTGACTTTTCTTTAATTGATTTTCAAAAGAAACTTCCTTACTTGGGGACATACTTGAGGAACAACAACTGACTTTTCTTTAATTGATTTTCAAAAGAAACTTCCTTACTTGAGGACATACTTGAGGAACAGCAACTGACTTTTCTTTAATTGATTTTCAAAAGAAACTTCCTTACTTGAGGACATATCTGAGTAACAACAACTGATATTTCCTAAACTTGATGTCCAAAAGAAACCTCCTTACTTGAGTGCATATCTGAGGAACAACAACTGACTTTGCCTAAACTTGATGTCCAAAAGAAACCGCCTCACTTGAGGACATACTTAAGGAACAGCAACAGACTTTACTTTAACTTGATATCCAAAAGAAACCTCCTCACTTGAGGACATATCTGAGGAACAGCATCTGACTTTTCCTTAACTTGATTTCCAAAAGAAACCTCTTCATTTGAGGACATACTTGAGGAATAACAACTGACTTTTCCTTAACTTGATGTCCAAAAGAAACCTCCTCTTTTGAAGACATATCTGAGGCACAGCAACTGACTTTTCCTTAACTTGATGTCCAAAAGAAACCTCCTCACTTGAGGAAATATCTGAGAAACAACAACTGACTTTTCCTTAACTGACTTCCAAAAGAAACCCCCTTACTTAAAGACATACGTGACCCAAGTCAGAGTAGTTCCACCTAAACCTATGCCCTAAGAAGTTTCTTCCCTAAGAAGTCAAAAAACCTACCTCTTAGGCACTAAAAAAATAGTAGATCTCTTGTAGAACCTTATAGACCTCTTACATTAAAAGGAACAAATTTTTGATCTTAATTAAAAAATCGCGAAGGTCGTATCTTGTAAGACAGTCAGAAGAAACCGAGATATCTTGTCGCTCGTTTCTGCCGCGTTTATCTGGGCGTCATAACATTTACAAAGTTTCCCGGGCATTGGCAAGTTAAACATTATCTCGAGAAGAGAAGCGTTGCGCCACCATACTGCGTATCGTTGCTGTGGCCTCCCTAATTTAACCCCCGTGTACGTGCGGTTAATGTTGCGACACGGTGTGACGCTGCAGCAAACGAGCCTTAATGCTGATACCGCAACGAAACCGTGCCTGTGAAAAAGATAACGTTATTCCGACGGTTCAACGAACAATATTTTACTCGTGCCGCGTACAAAAGCATACTCGAACGGAAATTACATACACGTTGCACAGGCATATTTATTTCTCGTTAATTTTACACCGTAAACAGGATGTCTTTTGTGAAACGCGAGGGTGAATGTAAAGGTCGAAGCCTTTTGTTACAGAGTTGTAAACTTGTTGAACTTGTATTAAATATCACGATGTCGTAATGTCACCGAGGTTATCTATAGGTCAAACATTACTAAAGGGTAGTTTTCTCTGTATGAATATTTTTCTGAAAATTAACAAATCTCGTAAAAAGGTGTGGTTGATTTGGGAGTCATCGAGTCTCCGGCACTTTTCTTCAGAAGGGTGCAAAGGGCCGAACAAAGGGTGGAACGTGTCGCCAAACAAAGAACCCAACGACAATATCGTGATCGAACGGTAAGACGAACAACGAGCGATGCAAAGTCGCAGGGACGACCGGAAAATTAATTTCCTTGTTCGCAGGGCTGCGTCTCTTTCTCGGCGTGGAAAACACCGTTTCGCCAGCTAATTAGCAACCACGCGTTTCCATCAACATTTTCCGATTCGCGACCCGGTTTTACGAGCAGCGGTGCCCGTAAACGGCCTGAAACGACGCTCGTATAATCGTGTCCTAACGTTCTGCAGTCATTAATAAGAGAAAACTACCCCTATAATCCGTTTTCGCGACGAACATCCTCCAACTTATCGAACGCTTAACTCTCGTCGGGCTGCGATTTCGTGGCTGTGAAAATGGACCCATTTTTATGGCGGTCAACCGGGGCTGGATGATTAAGCTCTTTAGAAATGCTGTTCTATTCGGATTTTATTTCTTTTCTCCAAGTTTTATGTTAACTTTGATATTCATTTATTTTTTAATTTGCTATTGTTTTAAAATATTATTTCAAATGTGGACGTTTTACTTCTTTCGTATTTGAATTTTCAGTGCCACTATTATTTTATTAAATTTAATTTTAATTTTCTTTAGTGGTAAAGTTTGATAAAGCCATTGTTAAGCGTTCACAATTTTCTGTTTACTCGAAGATGTGATACTGTCAGATCTTTACTGCAAGTATAACCTTGCGCATTGTCAGACCTCTGCTGTAAGTAGTTTAACCAAGCGCATTGTCAGACAGGCCCTACTGCAAGTAGTACAACCAAGCGCATTGTCAGACATTCTACTGCAAGTAGTACAACCATGCGTATGACCACCCACTTTTATTACGCTCTCATACAGAGTGTCCCCAAGAAATAAATTAGACAAAAAAGCGGATAATAATCGCGAGAAATTTATTAGCAACCTCTATTTATAAATCTTTCTTTCTCCGCAATGAACTCACGCGTTCCCGGAATAATTTCGCTGAAATTAATCGTTTGCGCGTTCTCGTATTTTTCAGACGATTGTCGAGCGTGAAAAATTCTCTTAAACGGGTTAACATGAACAAGGATTATCCTCAGAGAATATAAAAATATCAGTGGAAATCAGTTTAGCGAGAGAATTCAGTCGTCCTCGAGTAATCGCAGTAATTTTAACAAAAGCTTTCGCCTCTGCAAAATTTATTCGTGTTCTCACATATTTTCCGAAATTGATCACTTCGATCCTTTCATTGTCTCTCAATCGGTTATTCGAAGCAAATTTTTTAATCTTGAAAAATTGACTTTCAATCGAAGCGACAAAAATTATTTGTATTTAACATTTTTAATCATAAATGTCTTTAGACCTTATTCGCTCAGTTCGTTACTGAATCGTGACGGTAAAATGTTGCTAATATTACAGTTGTTCGAAGAATAATTTCAAACTACAAAATAATTTAAACCCCGTAAACTCATAATTTAAAAGGAATTTAATTTAAAAATGTCACTCCACGCGTTCTGAACAAACTCGTAACAATAATCTAAATTAATCTGCAACAATAATGTGCACTTAAAAAAAGGAAATAGAAAGAGACTGCAAGTACATGGTTTAATTAGTTTCTCACCTTGGTACCTAGAATTCCTGCCACTGCAGTGTGCCCCATGCAAATTTGTATCCTCAAACGACGAGAACCGTGTTTGCCCGGCCATTTCTCTCTCTCTGTACTTATTTTTCGTTTTTTTTTTCATTCAGCCTCATACGTACTTGTTAAGTTAGTAAGTCCAACGCGAATTCGCGCAGTTCTTTTTGTCCTTTTTTTTCCGCCGTTTTTTTTTCGTTTATTCCCCGGCGCACGATACCCGCAACCCCCGTATCCATGATATGCATATTTGCGGCCGCGTTTTATCCGTCCACTTCTTTATGCATGCCGTATTTTTTCGGTGCAATACGCGCCCCGTAAATCCGGTGCTCTGTTAAATCGCCGTATTTCAGGAACCGGATGTACCCGCATTTTTAATATTTCCCCATACGCGATTTTACCCGAGCGAATTTAATTCACCCCCCGACGATATATTTTGTTCGCATAAAAATATTTTACTAATTTCTGCTGAATTCAATAAGCAGAATGTAAGGATAGAATGAAATTATCAGGAATGTTTTGGAAAATGGCACCGTAAATCAAGCTTGCTGGTAATGTCTTGTATTTAGGGTCATAATGGAGATGTCGATGAAGCCAATTAAGAAGAATCGCGGAGCAGTTTAATGGGCTTCTACCCGACATAACGCCCCCTTAATAATTATAATGGCCGTTTAACGATCTCGAAACTTGCCGATAATGCCGGGCGCTTTCTCGAGCGAAAGAAAATATCGCTGCCTCGATCGATCGACGGAAATTGTACTTTCATCTCGGTGTCTCGTTAAAAATCAAAATACCGTGGTTCGATGAAAAATTGGTGATGGTGACTTTGTGCGGAATGAAAGGCGAGATTTGGAGAGGGGAGACTTGATAGGGGATGAAATTTTTATTTTTTAATTTTGTACTCTTGAAAATTTTGGTGATGGGTTTGGGGGTTTGGGAATTTTAGAATTTGAGAAGTGGGGGTTTTGGGATTTGGGAGTTTGAGAATTGGGGGGTTGGCATTTGGGAATATTGGAATTGGAGGGTTGGGAATTTGGGAAAATTAGAATGGGGGGGGTTTGGGATTTGGAAATTTGGGAATTGGAGGGTTGGGATTTGGGAAAGTTGAGAATTGGGGGTTTTGGGACTTGGGAATATTGGAATTGGGGGTTAAGGAATTTTGGAATTTTGGAATTGGGGATTTTGGGATTTGGGTATCAGATTCTACGAAATTCGGAAATTCACGATCGACATTTATTCGCCTTGTAACGTCTCACAGCGTTACAAAACTTAATTGAGAAATTGTGTTTACTCTTCACGATAGAAGTTGTACTAATCTCGGTAGTAGCGGAAGTTACGGACAGATATTACTGTGTTGAAAGAGTATTATGGCAACAGATTTTTGTGGGATGTTATTTGGTGGGTAAATAGTTTGACAAGGAATTTGGAATTGGGGGTTTAGGAATTTGGGAATTTTGGAATTGGGGATTTTGGGATTTGGGAATATTGGAAT